AATGTTGTCTTTTCTTGAATATAAAATTTTAAAAGTCTGTCTGTGCAGGTAAAGAAATTAAAGATAACTATTCTTATAAAGTAGGTATCTTTCTACTATTTTTTATACAATTTTAAGAAAAGGTCGTCTCGATTTTTGTACATGTATTTGCGGTCTTCTCGATCTATTCACCTTCAATGTTTACATGAGATAAGGAATTTGCTTAGTAACTATATTTCAAAAGTGCCAATCTTTGCTGCATATCAATCGATTCCATTGGATTTTTTTCCTGACTTTCTCTGATCTAGCTGTATATATATATTATATATACGGATAATTAGCATGTTCCAGAGAGGTGTACAGATAGTAGAAAAATTAATTGAAGTTAATACTCCAGGAATTTATTCGCATAGCAACATTTTAAACCAGATTCAATTTTACATCAAAGTTCTAAGGCCTGCTGTACTCGTCGTTTGCTACTTAAGGAGGGAAATGATAACATTAAATGGAAGTTTTGTTTTTATTTCAACTTATTTCTATTTCTACTATTTACCGGAACGTTATCCCGTGAATCCATAATTGATAGCGTCCTTGCTAAAATGGGACAAACATTGAGAAGATCTAGTTTTCAGTGTTTACAGGGGAGGTAATATTTTGTCACTAGATTTCCCACTGCGGAGGTGGGGGCTATTTGCTAAACTACCAGTCGAGTGGAGATAAAATTTACTGACCGCTAGGTAAACAAATTTCCTTCTCAAATATTACTGATGAACCTTATATATCTGTTTAATTACACCCAATATTAATAGGAATGGTTAGGTTGAACATTATATTAGATTAACTACATTATTCTTTCTGTATCAAGACTTTTGCAAAAACAGGTTCATTTGATAAAACGAACAAATGACCAGCATCTCTGTGATGGAATATACGTTTTGGTAAATACCACGCCATTAAGGATAACAAAGGCAACACAAAATACACTATTTATAATTATGAGATGTATAATTAAGACAGAAAGCTATTGCAAGGATAGAAAATTGTCTATCTAAATGTACTTCACCGTGTGATTTCATCAAATGTCAATACGAATACTAAAAATCCGGACTCAAAATAAACAATTTTACTAATTCAATTCAGTCACGAACCAACAGGTGTGTTTTGGTATGTTTATTTTAAGGGTATGATTCTATTCCATTATGACATTGTCTAACTAACATCTATTTTTAGTAACTTTGACCGTGACATTAAAACCTTAGACATAGATACTTTAAAATTAATAGTGATCTTTCTATAGAGTATTTGTGACAACATATATACGTTAGGTTACTATACTTTATTATGTATTTTCATTAGGCATCCGCAAACCTTTTACCAGAACCTTTCCTTTGTAATATTACCTTGAAGAAAATACCCTTAAAATCAACAGGGATCCTCGATCCTTTCATTATATATGAAAATATATACACGTATGAAGTTTACAATTCGATAAAAAAAATATTTGATTTATCATTCAGGAACCATTTTCCTGCACAAACGTCAGTCTATTTTTAGTTACCTAACTAGATGCAGTGATCTTGAATTTAATAGGGATGGATACTCCTCTCATTATATTTGAACGTATATCAAAGTAATTAAGGTTGCAATCAGAAACACATACAAAAGTATAAACTACTAAACTAATATTACCGTTGTATTCAGCAGGATGCTTCGGAATTTTTATCCTCAATGCTTTTCAACTTCGTTATTGATGTGGCATTTAACATACAAATTATTTTCTTGCAGGATTGTTTTTGTTTTATTTTTATTTTTCAGACGAGCAAACTGAACTAGAGATATGTTCTTGTTATTGAAACTCAGAATGATTCAAAATAGACGAATAAATTTAACAAAAAACATTAAAATTTAGAATACAGTATTGTATTTTGAAGTATAGTCAAGGTTGCGAAAGATTAAAATCATTTTGTTGTTTTGAGATAGAAAATAAAAAACAGAAACTGTATCAAATTTATCATGTAGCTTAATGTATACCGTTCATAGAACAAAAGATTAATCGTTGTCTCATAATAAATAAATCTACCAAAACATTTAGTTTTGCGTTATCAAATATATTTAACAAAATTGTTTTTTACTCTTGACATTGTTTGCAGTCTAGAGCAATACATTTATAATACAATACATTTCCATTATAAATTGTCTGTCCAACCAGACAAGAATATACTTTAAGATGCATGATTTTTTAATTAGTTGTTATTGGCTTTGAACTAGCTGTCAGTAACTGCGAGTACTCTAAGATCTGTTCCTAGTGTCTTTTTTTTTATTGTGGGGATGTATAAATACACTGCCAACTCCGATCTGTGTTTTTGTTAGATGTTTTCTGCTATCATTGATCTGATGAGTTTAGCCCTTTTCAACTGATTTTTATATATAAATAAGAAGATATGGTATGAGTGCCAATGAAACAACTCTCCATCCAAGTCACAATGTGTAAAAAGTAAACAATTATAGGTCAAAGTACGGCCTTCAACACGGAGCCTTGGCTCGCACTGAACAGCTAGCTATAAAGGGCCCCAAAATGACTAGTGTAAAACAATTCAAACAGGAAAACCAACGGTCTAATCTTTATAAAAAACGAGAAACACTTATGAACCACACCAACAAACGACAACCACTTAACAACAGGCTCATGACTTAGGACAGTTGCATAAAAATGCAGCGGGTTTAAACGGTTTAACAGGAGTATATATAGTTTGTTCTTATGTTGTACTGTTACACCACTGTCCCAGGTTTGAGGGGGCGGAGTTTGGCGACAACAAACTAGTTTAAAACTTCCACATTCTTTCTGTACCTGTCCCAAGTCAGAAGCCTGTAGTTCAGTGGTTGTTGTTTGTTGCTGTATATCATATTTGTTTTTCGTTCATTGTTTTGTACGTAAATCAGGCCGTGAGTTTTCTCGTTGGAATTGTTTTACATTTGTCATTGCGGAGCCTTTTATAGCTGATTATGCAGTATGGGTTTTGTTCACTGTTGATGGTCGTACTGTGACCTATAGTTGTAAACTTCTATGTCATTTGGTCTCTGTTGAAGAGTTGTCTCAGTGGCAATTATACCACATCTTCTTATTTCTATATTGATTGGTTAATTAATGGTTTCTGTTTAACACCAATTTCGACATTATTAGCTACATCATGGCCGTCAGTTTATATTAGTGGAGGAAGCCGGAGTGCCAGGGGAGAATCCCCGATCTTCGACAGGAAAACTGACAATCCTAGTACCGGTATAATAAAGATAGGAGTTCTAACTCACAATCTGAATATTTACACACTAGTGATACAGTAGATGAACTACGTACCACTGGGCCACTGCGGCCAGAAGAACATACTTACAACTTAATTTTTTTAATTTAGAAAAGTGTATACCAGTTGAAACCCTCAAATTGTGGAATTAATTCACCTTTTCGCTTTTTAATAAATAAATCATTATCATTATGTTTCCTAGACCATAATGTGTGCTGAATAAATATTAAAACAAAAACCCATACTTATAATGGTACATATACGAAAACAAGCATATTTGAAATAACATAAATCTTACACTCTTTCACATCCAAACCTACTCAGTAAACACACATACTCATATCGATCATCATTATACACAAGAATGAGTTAAGCATGTAAGCACAAATTTACTCTTCAACCTCAGACATTGGTTGTGTTGCCTTCACTGTTTGCTTTCTTATTGCTTTTCAAATTCTCCGCTCCTGCTAAATTGTATACCAAGATACTCAAATTCATTTTTTTCCCATAGATCTGTCCCATTTAAAGAAAACTTTAAATTTGCACTAGCTTTTTTCTCCCTGGAGAATATCAGATCTTTGTTTTTATCCACATTTTCTTTTAGCCTTCACATACTACAGGGCTATCCAAATTTGTTTAACACGTTTTGTAAATTTTTCGTTCCAGATGTAAAGACCGCGTTGTCTGCGTATAGATGGGCAAAAACATTGATGTAATTGTTTAACTCAGACATCTGCTAGTTAATCTGAAATCTCGTTAAGATCCTCTAAATTTTCCGTTTTATAAAATATTTTGCACTGTCCTGGAATGATGTCAGGTGCTTCCCATGTGGCACCCTTCGTCTTGCTCATGTAAGCACAAACCTATTGATAAGTCTAATTCGGTAGGTCATATTCGTGGATGAGATTGTGAGATTGGACGAGATTGTGGGTACGATAATTGGATCATATCTGTCCTCATCTGTGAAACAGATATTCCGTGCCGGTCAAACAACTCGCGATGGCGTCCGTAAGAATGACTTCAACTTCACTACTTGGAATTCTTGGTTTAATAGCTACCTTGTGAGCATCAACCCTCTATCAAGGAAATCATGATAGGAAATACCAGCTCTGGAATATCGTACAAAACTGAGAGATAGATACTTACTCTAAATGCAGGCGCTGCTAGAATGTTGCTTCATTGAAATTGAAAGTGCACACTTGGGAAGCTGCAATCATCTCTTTTGTCGTAAAGTTTTCTTCTCATCCGACCCTCATTGTGAATTTCTAGATGTTAGTTACGATATGAGTCAGACTTAACTGTATCTGTTGTATCCTTTATTCCAAGTTCGATGGGATAGATGCGTTCAATATATTAACTAAACTTTGAATTATTAAGTGGGAGGACATCACTTATATAACAGAATGCGAAGTTCTTTTTCATTCCTCCTTAGAAGAAATCAGCCTCATATGAATAAAGAAACATATCACATATTAATAAATCGCCAGAATACAATTTGAACTCAATAGAACATAATGTTATCCAAAGATTCGATAGTTAAAATGATTAGAAACTTTTCTATAATTTGTATTCTTAAGTTTAGAAATGAATTTGCGTTTTAACCTTAATATCAAAGGTATACATGCAAAGATGCGTGTATCTAGAAAAAAAACCGAGTTATTACATCATAAAACATGTTTTATATGTTAAGCTATCTATTTTTAACCGACAATTGTGACCCATATGAGATAATTAACAACAACAACAAAAAGAGCTAAACAAACATAAAATCATTAACTGACATTTGCTAATGGAATAGGAACAGTTTAGAACCATTGTCTAGAATAAGAGATTCAGTCTGTCTTTGAATTATACGTATGTACAATTATTTTACTTAGGACTTAGGACTCATTAATTCAGTATTTGAATTTTGACGCGTTCATTTTTTCTACGTATTTTTTTACATAAGGTACAAGATGTCTTTTGAACTCTTATAACAAAAACAAATGCATAAATATCCTCTGTAAATTAAACTGGTCATTTGAATTTACAAAAATGCCGAATTAACAATTTAATCTGTTTTACATGAAATTTTTATACTGACTTAAGTTAATTATTCGGTAAAAAATTTATCAATAACCTGAACGGTACCAATTTTTCTGTACTAGATGCGCATTTCGTCAATAGATGTCTCTTTTGTGATGCTCGAAACCATAATAATTGAAAATTAAAAGCTTATTAAAAAGGTGAAGAGCTATGAACCGAAAAGGACACAAGGGTATATCCACTGCAGGGCAAGGAATCAGAGCTTTGCATGAGGGAGATAAATTCCTTAATTAAAAAAAATTTCCAAAATTTTGTATTAGAAAATTTGAATAATTTGAATAACGTAAAAATCCGTATTTTCTTGCAAGTACCGAAGTACTGGCTACTGGGCTGTTGATATCGTCGGGTACTAACAGTCCGTCAGCGGAGACATCGACAGATTGGTAGTAATAACATTAAGGGAACAACATTTTCTGCACCAGCTGAGCATTTCGACAATAAATGTCTCTTCGATGATGTTCGAGGCAAAAGATTTTAAAATGCAAAGCTTATTATAAAGATGAAGAGCTACAAATCAATAAAGACAAAAAAGTATAGCCAAAGCCGGGCATTGAATCAGAGCTACCAGTCCTATAATTTAGTACGCTAAACGAGTGTTTCGTCTACTCAAGACTCATCAGTGACGCTCTAATGAAAACAGTTTTTAAAAACCCACACCAATGACATGGTTGAAGAGAATTAAAATCGGTAAAATTAATCATCAGTCATTAAAGGGGTCTAAATCTACATGTAACAGTAAACTCTGCGAGGAGTTTGGTCGACTTGTGATTTAATATTTCGATAATATATTTTTTAGACAATCCAAGTTAATTGGTTGGTTTTGTTTGCTTAATTTGAAGTAACAAATATTCATTGTATATTGAAGTTGAGATCAAGTACAAAAATATATTAAATAAGTAGGTTCTACAAAATGGATTCACTGGGATGAAGGGCGGGACATTTTGACTGCCACTAAAAAATTTAAGGTATATCAACAATTATCCAACGGAGTTCTAAACGGGTAGACACTTATACCTTTGTTAATGAGTATGCAAAACACTTTTTAATGACAAGAAGGGTTAATGTTTTTCTAGAAACATGGGGAAAAGTATTACCAACTGAAATAGAGAGCTTCATTATTAGAAAGAAAATATACAAGAAATAAGAACTCATCCACTTGCAACCGAAACCATGAACGTATTTATAACCATTAAAGCGTTAAAATGTTAATTGAAATTGAAAGTCGAACATAAAATCACCTCAAACAATTTTTTCATTAGAAGAATCTTAATTTTACTATTTTATAATAGATAAACACAGATTATTCAAGTTGCAAATGAATCATCTAGTTGCATTTTGGTTTTGATTACAACCTTAAAGAATATGGTTAAAATAAACTGTTACATATGGACAACTATATGATGTCTATATGTCAACTGATAAAGACCCGATCCCTTTAAAAAAATTTAAGCAATATTGCTATTCAAATATTGTAAACGATGTTGTGAATATATTCAGTGAAATATGTTCTTCGATTTTATTATTATTATTATTCATCTATCTATCTATTCTGTTTTTTTTTTAAAATAACAAAGTATTTTAACTTAAATTGATTAAGCGTATAGTTGAGTAACTTCTAAGATATAAAATTTAAGTGATTACCTTTATTTGTTATTGGTTCAAACGCACCCAAAGTAGTACAACTGCTGCCTGAAATGAATATGTTCCGTCATGCAATTTTAATTCAATAATTGACTAAGTATGGAGCAGAATTCATATAGAACCTCACCAAAGACAAAACGAAAAGAAAAAGCGCTTAGCTTAGTTCGTTATTTTCACTTTCAGATATATTGATAATGTCTTGTCACTTAATAACCCACATTTCAGTGAGTGCTTGCAACTTGTACAGGTGTATTCCAGTGAGTTCGACATTAAGAATACTACCGAAACTAGAAGATCTGCTTCCTATGTTGAATTTTTCCTTGTTATTCACACAGATGGACGATTTTCATCTAGAATATATGACAAACATGATGGTTTCAAATCTCCAATTATCAACTTCACATTTCTGAGCAGTAATATACCTCTGCCCAATCGTATGGCGGTAATATATATAAATCAATACTTGCAACTGTGTATGTTCACACTTTATTGACTTTATTCATAGAGGTTTGCTTCTAACACAAAATCTGCTCCAACAGAAATATATGGAACGCCTCAGCTGTCTTATGTGGAACTCTGATATTACTTTATGTTGTTTTATTATTACTTGATGATATTTTGTCTTTACTTAATATGGTTTTGACATTACGTAATGATGTTTTGATATAACTCAATATGGAATAGTCATTACTTAATGATATTTCGATATTACACGATATGGTTTCGTATTGACTTGATATAGTTTTGTCATTACTCAATATGGTTTTGTCATTACTCGATGTGGGTTCACCATTATTTAATGTGATTGAGTCATTAGTCAATTTGGTTTTAACATTACTTGATGTGAATGTGACTTAACGTTATGTAGTTGTTTCATTACATGATGTGGTTTTGTTATTTCGTAATGATGATTTGCCTATTCTTTATATGGTTTTAACATTACGTAATGATATTTCAAAATTTGACGATTTTACACTACATGATGTGTTTGTTTCATTATTTGATGTGGTCCTGTCATTCTTTGATGTGGTTATCCCATTACTTGATGAGGTAAAACCACGTGACCAATTCGGAAAAAAATATGTTCTATTTTTAAACAGATTTCAATATATCATTTGTTTAATCTGGGACTATTATACTATTATACTAATAGTCCCAGGTTTAATGTGCTTTGGATGGGTATCGCTATCCATTGAGTTAAAGTTCAAATTAAAGCTCGAGTGGTTGTTCAGAGTTATTTAGCATGAAAAAGGTAACCGGCAGACAATAATAAGAAAAAAGTATTAAAAAGTTTACAGTATTTCTTACATAATTGGGATATCCCCAAACCACTTTGTCTTTTTGTTTTTATCCTAAGTTCTCAAACGGAAGCAGTATTTTTGTAATAAATTTGTAAAATATTCCACGGAACCCTATGTCTCGCCTGATATTGCTGCTGTAAGTGTAAAAGCGTCATGTTGATCGGCTGTACATTTATCTATACATTTATCGGTAAAAACAAAATTAAAAAAAAATGTTTTTCTGTAGATGCTTTTTCTTGAAATTGAAGAATAACTCCTATACTCCTATACAAGTTTTAAAACACTTCATGGAGGTTTACAAATTTATCATGTCAAAACAGTTTAATTCAGTTTTATTTAACTAAAACAAAACTGTATGGTTTTCAACAATAAGCAAAACCCATACCCTATAGTAAGCTATAAAAGGTCCCGAAATGAAAAATTTAAAAAACTAGAAACCTAACGATCTATTGATAGATAGATAGAACGATGGATAGATACTTTATTCTCTAAAAACTAATTACAAGTCTACAGAGAAACATACAATATAAATACAGATACAATAGTTGAGGTAAACAAATACAGTATGATATTCTAAAAGTACAAAATTATAATGGCATACGTGTTTAGTAACATGTATAATGAAAGGTTAAACTCAATTTAAATAAAAAAAGAATTGAGATGGAGACGCCGACGCCACTATCAACGACGAAATATAGGTTTGTTGGGTCTCACTGCCGCTACATTGATGTCGCAGGCTCGACACAAATCAAACGACTTGAACTTTAATGTTAACAAATGAAGCGCTTCAAATCAACTCACACTAAAGTTACCGGGAAACGGGGGGAGGGGGCTCGGACTTAGCGACAAAGCATCAATACTATAAAATAAGAATTCTCCGAATTTTTTTTAGCGTAAATGATCATTTGAACGTATACAAATATCAATCTTTTATTTGTAATCAATTGAATTCCCTGATCTACCTCGCACTAATTGAAAAGTACACTTTTTGGAATATCTGTTTCACATGTGACGACGGACATGTTCCAGTGGTCGTAACCATAATACCGTCATCTTTTTCTTGAATGTGAACTACCAAATAAAACCAAATCACTGGGTTTGTACTTTCTCGAATAACACGGCGGGTGCCTTTCTGGAGCATCCGAGATCACCCCGATGGATTTATATTACCCAGTCATACCGATCTATTGAGTCAGCCAAATGAAACTGTTTTGTATGCCACCGCAACTGAAAGTTGGGGGGGGGGGGGGATATTGTTTTACCCCTGTCCGTCCGTCCGTCCGTCTGTCCGTCCCATTATGGGTATATAGTTATTCCGCATAACTCCTCCTACAGTTTGAATGCTAGGAAGTTTTTGCTCTGCTGGCTGTTTGTACATATATTGAAGGTGTGCATGTGGTCAGGGTTTTTATCTTTATTATCTTTTGCTCTTTTGGGAGATAAGTGAACTTTTTTTTTGTCATTTCTGGGGTATAAGCGGTTAAATGAGTTGAGTGCGGGGCATCACTTTGTCTAGTTTACATTTTTTTCTCGTGTTGTGCTGTTACACAAGTGTAACAGTCCGATGTAGGGTTAGGATTTAGCGCTCACATACATGTTAAACTCCGCTACGTGCACTTTCTTTATGTACCTGCCCCAAGTCAGGAGCACGAAGTTCAATTGTTGTCGTTGTATAAATGTGTGTCATTTTTTTTTGTAGATTGTTTAAATATAAATAAGACCGTTTGTTTTTTTCGTTTGAATTTTTTCACATGGTGCATGGTGGCCTTTTATAGCTGACTATATGGTGTGTTGAAGGCTGTACGGTTGCCTATATATGATTTCTTACATCCACTGCATTTAAACTCTGGTGGACAGTTGTCGCATTGTCAATCACACCACATCTAACTTTATTTCAACTTCTATGTTGCGTTTTGTATACTGTAACATTATTTATCTTTTGTACGCATACCCCGGAGCCCTCTTTTCGGAATCCCGAGCAAAAGTCCTTGTTCCGCGATGGAAAATTAATTACGAACTCATATAAGATAGCACGAATTTCAACTCAAAATCTTAATTAATCTAAATGAGACTTAAATTCGAATCTTACTCAAACTCAAAAAGTGACTCAAATTTAATGGTGTAACTAGAACTCTACCTTTAAATGTGACTCAAACTTGAAGTCCAACTCGAAACTCAATGCTAACTAAAACTTTAATTCTAATAATGATTTGAATTCGGAATCGGAGACTAACTCAAAGTTCTACTCAAACAGTAACCCTAACTTTAATTTGAACTCTAATTCGATGGATGGCCGCACTCATCCAAGGCACATACAACATGGAAATCTATCTAAAAATAGAACAGGTTTTTTCCGAATTGGTCACGTGATTTAACCTCATCAAGTAATGGGATAACCACATCAAAGAATGACAGGACCACATCAAATAATGAAACAAACACATCATGTAGTGTAAAATCGTCAAGTTTTGAAACATCATTACATAATGTTAAAACCATATAAAGAATAGGCAAATCATCATTACAAAATAACAAAACCACATCATGTAATGAAACAACTACATAACGTTAAGTTACATTCACATCAAGTAATGTTAAAACCACATTGACTAATGACACAACCACATTAAATAATGGTGAACCCACATCGAGTAATGACAAAACCATATTGAGTAATGACAAAACTATATCAAGTCAATACGAAACCATATCGTGTAATATCGAAATATCATTAAGGAATGACTATTCCATATTGAGTTATATCAAAACATCATTACGTAATGTCAAAACCATATTAAGTAAAGACAAAATATCATCAAGTAATAATAAAACAACATAAAGTAATATCAGAGTTCCACATAAGACAGCTGAGGCGTTCCATAGAAATATGATGAAGAACGGTTGAAATCGCAACTACATAACTTTTACTATCACCATCGCGAATTTATTGACTGATGCGATGTGTATGTGTTTCATCTTATTAGCGATATGATTTTGCGGTCTTAGATTTTTAGATACCAGAATACTCGTCTAATCTGTGATTTACCGATTGTAACATTTTGACTGAATGTGAATACGCACGGCGGGTGATGTTTACATAGCAGAAGACTCACCTGGTCACCTTCTGGATTTTATGGAAATTCCAAAAGTTTTGTTCGTTAACTTAATATGTATCTTCTTACTCGATTGATGTCACCATGAGATAAGAACATCGGTAAAATTTTGTTCATTAGAGACTGAGTAGTTATGTTGTTTTAGGAATGCCACCACCAGTTGATTGACTATAATTTACTATGTAGAATGTGTGTGTTGATTTTATTTTATATTGATTTAAAGCATGGAAACTTTTGCCTAAAAGAACACATGTTTGAGATTATCAGTTTTCTTGTTAGTTTTAAATGATTGTCAAAATAAACCAATGATTGTCACAAATAACCAATGTCCTTTATTTAAGTACTTATCCTTTGAGGACATCATAGGTCAGTAAGATTTATGATAACTAAAGCTGTATTTGTTTTTAATAAGTAAAGAATTTCAAAATATTATTCTAATGGAAAGAGTTATTAAACATCCAACCCATATGTCGAATGTGAATTGGCAAATTTTGTGCAACGTGATTTTTAGAAGACGATTAATAATACATGTAGTAGATTAATATATGAATGCATTTAATGAATACATAGTATTTATATTTCATTTAATTCAATTAAAGATTTCAATATGGCATGCAAGTTTTCCAAAACATTCTTATTTGAATATGGAAAAAAACTCAATTGCACCATTGCAGATATTTTGTTTTAATATTTCGTCAGATTTCAATCAACTTTGTTCATAAAATTATTTGATTTTTTTTTAAACTGGCTTTAACGCTCTATATATATTTACGATTACCCTTAAAATGTGCCAGTTACTTTATTATTTTATTTCGCACCATAATTGTTTTTTCTTTTCCAGAAAATGTCACCGCGTTGTTGTAAACGATTGATGCAAAAGATCCATTCAAAGGATATTAGAGTAGATGAATATGGCAAAGCAAAGGAATTTTGTCTTCTCAGTATCGCTCGTCCTCATATGAGGGCTTTCCATTCATCGTGGTTTGGTTTTTTTATTGCATTTACGGCATGGTTTGGCATACAACCTCTCTTACCAACAATAATAAAGGAGTTGCACCTGTCAAGGAAAGATGTCGCTAACTCTGGAATTGCAAGTGTTGCTGCTACTATAATAGTACGAGTATCTGCAGGACATCTTTGCGATAAATTTGGACCACGTCGGGTTATGGCAACCTTGTTGGTAATAGGCTCTATTCCATTAGCTTTAGCAGGACTCATCACTAGCGGGACAGGGCTAATTGTTGTACGTCTTTTTGTTGGTTTTCTGGGTGGAACGTTTGTTCCATGTCAGTTTTGGACAAGTATCATGTTTAACTACAAGATTGTTGGAACAGCTAATGCCATGGTTGGTGGATGGGGAAATCTTGGTGGTGGATTTACATTTTTGTTGATGCCTGCTGTATTTCAACTTATCAAAACCATGGGTGTCCATGAATACATGGCTTGGAAAATAGCTGTTGTAGTACCAGCCGTTATCTGCAGTGCTATAGGTTCGTTATTTTTTGTTAACATTGTAGTAGAACATTCCAGTGGTTTTAAGACTTTTTTTACATATGTTGATGAAGTTGTTGTTATGTTGTTTTAAGATGTTTTATCTTAATGATTTTTTTTTCAATTTTTAGCTTTCTATTTAGTAGAAATCGATTGTTTCATCCGACATCGTTATTCCCATCACACTTCTCTGATAGAAAGTAAGTAGTAATAAGTAAAGGTAACCATAATCACGTCGACAATTAACTGTCATCATTTCGACTTTTGTTTACAATTAAATAAACGTTCATAAACGCACCAATTCGCTATTGTATTTTAGTTTGTTGTGTAATGTTTTTAATTTTTATGTTCTCATTCTGATCGACCTACAATGAATGTATTGCATTCCAGGTATATCAATTCTGTTTACATCTGATGACTGTCCACAGGGAGAATGGAAAACCCGAAGACATGCACATGCAAAAACTGAAGAACTTAGGGCTGTCATTAATGAAGGTAACTATTATATAATAAGATAGCTCTCAACAGTTAGGACATAGAATTGAAATTGACCCACAAAATGTTCAACCAACCTCTTTTTTCTGGTCTTCTGGATTTCTATTAAATCAAGCCAACTATGGCGTCATACATATGCATATGTATGTAATCAGTATCTACCATAGATTTAGTTTACAACAGTTAAAATGGAAAAAATATTTTCCTTTTTGTGTATCCATGACACATGAACTTACTTTCAAATAAAAGCATAGTATGTTAACATTTATAAAAGAGGTGTAAGATATCAAGAAGACATTCAAAACTTGAAGAAAAACTGACAAAACAAAAACATGAACAAGTCCTCAATCCTCAATAGAAAACTAAAGATTCAGCAACACGAACCCTACCAAAATCCAGGGAAAACCTCACGTGCTCTGAAAGTGTTAAATGCATTTATTGCACCATAAATAGTTTCAATTTTTAGATAGCAGCTGATGATATTAGCAAAACTTGTCTGAATTGAGTACAGTATTTTTTTTTCAAAATGGAAGCTTTATCGTACACGGTGCGATTAATAAAAACTGTACTGTATTTGTACGTCAATCATTGATTTTACTGTATCAATTTAAGATTTCCGGCGACGCATTTGCAATTTACGTCTGCAAATATTAAAATATATTACAGTTATTCATTAATAGCATCAAACAATTAAGTGTACGAATTAAGCTACCATTTTGAAAAACAAATCCTTTTCTGATGCAATTCCGCAGTCTTAGATTTTTAGATACCATTAAAGGCGTCTTACCTGTATTTTTCCCGATTGTATCTTATTCCCGATACTGACATATTAACTGAGTAAGGGTTAGTGACTCGACACGTCTCGCTCCTTTTGCAGTTCATGCGATTTCCTCAGGGTTTTTTTAATTTTACCTTGATTTATATCTCCCAACTGGAATTATGAGATTAAAAACCGGTAAACTCCTTTTGTGCCTACTCAACTTTTGTTTTGCGGTTTTTGTTTGTTTGGTTTTTTGGGGGCTATTATGTTGAAAATTATAACAGCAAGATAGCATTTAAATATCGAAAATTACCAAAAAAATGAAGAAAGTTGGCAAGATAGCCGAATTCGACAGAGGAATCTGTATAGTAATAATTGCTTATAAAGGAAGAATTTTACTATGATTTTTGTTTTTTTGGCTGTTACCTTGACAAATATAATAGATAGGGAGAAACATTTTAAGGCAAATTAGATCAACAAGATGAGATGTACAGATAAGTCAACATGGCCGAAATCGTTATTCAACACATTATTAGAGACAAAAAGAATAACAAAAATACCGAACTCCAAGGTAAATTCAAAAAAGGGGAAGTCCATGAAACCTGACAAAATCAAACTTTATCAACCAACAGGACGAATGAAAAAACAACTGTCACATTCCTGACTTGGTACAGACATTTTCCGAAGAAAACGGTGGGTTAAACCTAGTTTTATAGCTAGCTTGACCTAGCTTGTTTATAGTTCCGTTAAATTGACAAAATTGGGTAATTAACCCAAACAGACATAATAGGTTAATGTGACAATAGTTGGGATCCAGCAGCCATAACTGTGTAAACATACATCACAGACATACAACACAACTGACTTACATATTTAAACAAACATACAAATAAATCTAACAAAGGCGCCATCAAAAAGTTGTTGTAGTTGATAGTAAATTTGACAAAGATGCCAACAAAAACGTTTTTGTAGGTGATAGTACTAAGTTGACATGATTATTAGTGTTTTCAGCTGATATCTTGAAAACTATGAAAGATTTACTGAGACTGACAGCAATCTTATTAGCAACACAAGATCTTCAAATAAGTGAAATGATTGAAGTCACCAATCGACTCCTTACACGAGATATTTTCCCTAAATTTTAATTGATAACCATTTTTTGCTATTGTCGCTGGGAAAACACCTTCATATTTTATCAGATCCTCTCTAAATTTGGATGAAGGTTTTCACTCTTCAAACCTCAGATGAGTATACGAATATAAGAAACATGACCTCAAAATACTTAAACTTAGTATAAGTGAACGCGCAAATATGCCAATAATACCAAATGTTCAAATAGATCAATCAGACACCTAGGCTAACAGACAAAAAAAAAACAGTTCACAAAAAAGTAAACAGAACACGTAATACTCAGCAACAATATTAAACTAAAATACCGGGTAGCACTTAAATACTCCGTTAAAGTGAAAAACAATCTGATTCCCTTGTCGCATTTGGTGATATTCATCAACGATGAAAAAGGGACTGGATTGTAGCAACGACAAATGGAACATATCTTTGGCCATCTGTTACAAATATTCAATAACGTACAAACAAACCACGATGGCATCCGCAAAACTTTCGAAGAGATTACTTAATTTTACAATTAAGAAATCTTGTTTCAATGGATTCTATGTTTGAAGCAACTAACTTTCATGGAAATTCGAAAATGAAATGCAAGCATACGAAATATCGTTATTAAGTTATATTATTTCTTGCAAAATTCCTTGAAGGCTGTCATAAGCGCGATAGAAAAGGAAAAAAGGGACTTTTGTGACATTGTATGAAAACGACTCTGAATGAAAACACATTATAAAAAGTCCATTATGTCATGCATGTATATTTATTTTCAAAAATGAAATACTAACCAAATGGTAAAATATTGCTTATAGGTGAAAACCTACCAATGAAAGGACACCACAAGTCGCATCTAAATAAACAGCCAAAAGTATGGACTTACATTACAATTTCACTGTTGATCGTACAATATGGTATGTGTTTTGGAGTGGAAATTGCTGGAAACACCATTCTCAATTTATACTTTTTATATCAATTTAAAATCGAAGGTTGCAACGAAACTACAGTTACAATATCAAACAGTAATTCGACTGTAGCCAATTTTATTGATAAGGAAGAAGTAAATTTGTCATGTAGTGTCTTAAACCAGAGTACTGCTAGTTTAATTGCATCTCTTTTTGGACTAATGAATCTGTTTGCACGTGCCTTTGGGGGAACATTTTCGGATGTTTGCTTCAAGCACTACAAAATCCCAGGACGTCTGTTAGCTCACCAACTCTGTTTAGCGGGAGAAGGAATTATGCTAGTAATATTCAGCCAGATGAAATCTATTCCGTCGGCCATTTGTACATTGGTTATAACAAGTGTATTTGTTCAAGCATCAGAAGGTACGACATATTCCATCGTGCCATATGTTCATGCCAAGCGAATAGGTGTGATTTCTGGGGTTGTTGGTGCTGGAGGCAACACAGGGGCCCTTATCTGGAATACCATTTGGGTTCAATTAGTTGATGTAGAACCAAGTTGGTGGTTTTGGGTAATAGGTGTAATTGTTTTCTCAGGAAGTATGTTCACTCTGTTATTAAGAGTTGAGGGAATGACTATATGGCATATTCTCAGAAAACAAGAAAAAGGGAAAAATGAAGAAAATGAAACTGCTCTTGAACGATAAAACTTGTTTTGATATGAAAGTATAATGAATTTACAAGGTCTGATATTTTATGTCAATTTATATCCTACATATATATTTCTTATGTTAAAAAACATTAAAGTATATACATGTCGTGTTAACTAGAATTGCTTCTCGTGTATAAAACTTGTAAAACAAAAAACAAACTGCGTTTTACTTTAAATTAAAAAGCCTCAGATGACACATGTAAACATTTTGAGTAATTACTATAACATAACATAGTTACATCGCAGTTAATAAAAATATGCACACTTTACAAAAAAGTCGTCAGTTCATAGTCGTGACTTTAAATAGAAATTCGGTCACTTAATTAATTTGATGGCTTTGTATGGATATATAAATAATAGTAGACAGGGATATTGCATTGTCACAATATAAAACTGTACGTTTTAGCAAGGTTTCTTTAGGAAAAAAATCAAAAAGAGGTGACAAAGCTGAGAACATAATGAAAGAGCAATTAAAAAATTATTCCAGGAATAACAGGCAACACTTTGGCCAAATTATTAAAGGCACAAAACACTACACGAAAACTACAATATGAGCAAAATGAAACTTTATCATAAGACTTAATGCGCTTTCCTTCCGAAACAACTGAGATCGCCCCCGGTTTTAGGTGGGGTTCGTGTTGCTCAGTCTTAAGTTTTCTGTGTTGTGTTTTGCATATTGTTGTTTGTCTTTTGGTGGTTTTTCATTTTTTGACATGGCATTGTCAGTTTGTTTTCGACTTATGAGTTTCAATGTGCCTTTGGTATCGTTCGCCTTTCTTTTATATTGGTGTTATTCTGTTATATCACTCAATGATACCTTCGTAAATAAATGTTTCATGTTGGAACGGCAATATGCTTATCATTTCATTTCCTATTGGCTTAAAAGATGGACGAAAGATACCAGAGGGACAGTCAAACTCATAGATCGTAAACAAACTGACAACGTCATGTCCAAAAATAAAAAGACAAACAGACAAATAATAGTACAGATGACACAACATAGAAAACTAAAGACTAAGCAACACGAACCCCACCAAAAACTGGGTGATCTCAGGTGCTCCGGAAGGGTAAGCAGATCCTGCTCCACATGTGGCACCCGTCGTGTGGCTTATGTTATTACAAATCCGGTAAATAGTCTAATTCGGTTAGTCACATTCGTGAAAAGGGAAGGGTATTGAAGCAGATCCTGCTCCACATGTGGCACCCGTCGTGTGGCTTATGTTATTACAAATCCGGTAAATAGTCTAATTCGGTAAGTCACATTCGTGAAAAGGGAAGGGTATTGTAGTTACGACATAAGGAACATATCCGATATCATCTGTGAAACGGTTATTCCATAACGGTCAACCAACTCGTGATGGCGTCCGTAAAATTTACGAAGGGATGATTTCAACTTCACCATTTGGAACTCTTGGTTTAATAGCTTTCTTGTGAGCAGCAATCCTATATCAAGGAAATCATGATAGGAAACACAAGCCCGGGAATATCGTATCAATTGGAAGATATATACTCCGTATGCAGGCGCTGCTGGAATGTTGCTACATAGAAATGGAAAGTTCACAATTGGGAAACTGAAATCATCTCTTTTGTCGTAAAGTTTTGTTTTCAACCGACCCTCATTGTCAATTTCTAGATGTAAGTCAAGATATGAGACTTAACTGTATCTGAAGTATCCTTTATCTCTAGCTCGATGGGATAGATTCGTTCAACATAGTCACCAAATTTTGTATTATTTAGTGAGAGAACATCATCTATATAGCGGAACGTAGAGTTAAAGGATATTGCTAACTTCTTATCTTTCTTCCTAAGAAGTTCCTGTATGAAGTCAGCCTCATAATAATAAAGAAACAAGTCGGCAAGAAGAGGGGCACAATTAGTTCCCATTGGAATTCCGACAGTCTGTTGAAAAACACGTCCTCCAAACGTAACAAATATGTTGTCAATCAAGAAATCAAGCATCTTGATAATGTCAGTTTCAGAGAATTTTTTGTTTGAATCAGAGTGATTCTTTACAAAGTAGGATTTATCCCTCCCCAAGACAAGATACTTGTATCTACGTTCGCCATTCTTTTTAATGAAACAAAGTAATACCAACTCTTTCAATTTGTCTTTTAGTTTGGAATGGGGAATACTTGTGTAAAGTGTAGAAAAGTCAAATGTTTTAATACTACTGCAAGATGAGAGAGTCTTAGATTGTATGTACTCTAAAAGATCTTTGGAATTTTTTAGTATCCACATCTGATTCACGCCACCTCTAGAATAGGCAGTTTCACAATAACTTTGGAGCCCGGCTTTGATTGCTGATAAAATAGATGTTAATAATTTAGAAAGAGGTTTCGTGGAGCACTTGGAAGACCCAGCAATATACCGTTGTTTGTAAGGACACTTATGTAGGTTAGGTATCCAATACAGTGATGGAAGATCCAGTTCTTCATCTTTGGTTGAAATTCCGAAGGAAAATAGAACAGACCTATGATTATCCAGGATTTCCTCTTTGGTAGGTGTCGTGAGGGTATATGTTGAGTTTCCAAGTGAATTGTCAATTCCTAATTCATTTATCAAGCAGTTTATGTAATGATATTTACACACAAAAACGATGTTGTTTGGGGCTTTATCTGCGGGGACAACAACATATTTGTCATGGAGGTAGGTCAAGTGTTTTGCAACATTTGGGTCTTTAAAAATTGATGTAGCGTGGGTATTGATATGCCCATTTAGTTTCTTAATTCGGATTTGTATCAACGACCTCACAGCCTTAATCCATTCGGAAAGTGTATCTACGTCTTCTTTCTCGCGTTTAGCCTATTGCCTGGCATAATCCTCGACTGAATCCATCAGTATTTTGAAGTTGTATTTCCAATTGATGGATTTAGGCTCACGATATTTCGGACCTTTGGATAACAAATTTCGCAGGAAAGTGTTATTGACAATGTTGAGGTCTCCGGTAATAACGTGGCCAGTCGGATTATATGTGAATTGGGAACTAGCACAGGTGCAATCAGGAGGTTTAGACTTGAAGTCGTCAATGTTGAGATCCTGCAAAACGTGTTTGAAATTGAAAATTTTAGTTGCAATTGGTTTGGTATAGGTATAAGAAATTATTGGTACAGACTGATCTTTAAAATAAGGAGGTATTTTCGACTGAACTAATTTATGATGAAGGATATTGCCTAAGTTGACGCCATCGAGACCTTTGTTGGCAAAGGAAAGTTTAAGAAAAGATCTTTTCTCTTTTTCATCTTTTCCAATGCGAACTGCTTTGAAAAGTCTGTGACTTGCAATATCCGAAATGATAGCTGTAAGTTTGTATTGGTTTGAATGAGGGTTTGTAACAGTGGTTTCCAAACATAAATTGAACAGAGAATGAAGTTTTGAAAGGGGTAATGAATACAGTTTCGTGCGAATGTGATGAATACCTAATGGCTTTTGTATAAATGGCAGCAAGTCATTAATAGAGACATCATGCAAAGTAGGTGATGTATAATGACGATGACCATGACTGCGTCTACGTCGAGGAGTAGAGTTGAAAATATTCATCACATTCACCGAGCAACAGGAAGGACTAGATAGAATACCTATACCATCAATTTTGTCATTGCAACCATATGGTGTTGCAGTTCCCAATTGTCGAATCCAGTAGTCCTCTTTTTGTCTACGGAGAGGCGTTGCAAGTTGAGGATTGTTAGTCTTGTGTTATATTTTTTCGATTATACGAACTGTCATAGAAACGATGGAATGATCAGGCTGATTAAAACGCTGGTACAGAATGTCGTCTGCATTGAGGTTGATATCTGATCTATGGCCGCACATACGTTTGTTTAGCCTTCCTTTCGTTTCACCGACGTAAACCAATCCACAAAGGTTACACTCTAATCCGTAGACGACATTTATAGATTTACAATTCAGATCATCGTAACTTCTAGTAAAGTAAGACTTTTTAGTTAAATTGCTAGTGAATTGAGCGTCTGTTATTAAAATTTCACAAGTTTTGCAGCCATTAGTTCCACATTTCGAAATGAGACAGTGTTGTTCAGAGTCATCAAAATTCAAAATGTATTTAAGGAGAACTGAACATGGCTGTGTATGTGTAATATTGCTATTGTCACTAGTATGATGATCTGAATGAGTCATGTTAGGGATATTTGTCTTTTTAATTGAGAGCTATTCGGTTAATGGATCGATTAATTAATTAATAAAATTGAGAATGGAAATGGGGAATGTGTTAAAGAGACAACAACCCGCCCAAAGAGCAGAAAACAGCTGAAGGCCACCAATGGGTCTTCAATACGGCGAGAAAATCCCGCACCCGGAGGCGGGCATCAGCTGGCCCCTAAACAAAAAATGTGTACTTGTTCAATGAAAATGGACGTCACACTAAACTCCAAAACATATAAATGAACTAAAATTAAAAAACATACAAGACTTACAAAAGCCAGAGACTCCTGACTTGGGACAGGTGCAAAAATGCGGCGGGGTTAAACATGTTTTGTGAGATCTCAACCCTCCCCTTATACCTCTTGCCAATGTAGAATAAACAAACACACAGCAACACGCACAGTAAAACTCAGTTTAAAAGAAGTCCGAGTCCGATGTCAGAATAGGTAACAAAAAAAACTAAGCAAAATGACAATGATACATAAATTAACAAAGGACTACTAGTAGTTACTTACATGCCAGCTCCAGACCTCAATTAAACTGATTGAAAGATTATGTCTTCATCATATGAATATCAAGCACAATCCCTCCCGTTAGGGGTTTAGTATCATATCATCAAAAAAATATATGAGAAGAGCATCACCTGTATCATGCCATCAACTGGTTATAGAATAAATGTGTTTATTTCTGATGCAAAGACCCTACGAGTGAATCAATATTAATACCAAAACATGCCATCTTTAAGGACCTGGTAACAGTATCGTAACTATATCCCTTCTGATTAAGTCTATTTAAAGGTTTGGTTAGCTTTTATAGTTAACTAAGTTAAGTTTTTAAATTTACCATAAACTCATCTTGGCAAAATTTAAAGGATAGGAGCAAAGGAAGTACCCGATTAACGTCACTAATTGTCAGTGTCTAAGTAATAGTATCCGAAATATTATTTAAGTTAATATCTT